TGCATCTAAAATTTAACAGTGACAACAACAACACAGAACTTTACTATAAGGATATTAAAAAGTTGTTTAAAACTATTTCTTTAAACAATCTGTGAAGACAACCAAAATATATAAAGTAATAACATTTATAGGCGTTTTTCAGTCAACTTTTTTAATGCTTTAAATGACAGGCTAAAAAATGGAATTAGCAAAGCAAACAAACTTTTGATGAAATGACCTAATTGTAACTAAATGAGAAACAATGGTTTTGCAATGTATCTGTTTCCTTAAATTGTAACACATTCTGCAAATCAAAATTTACTATTTATAAGACAAAAGATAAACAGCAGTTGTAATTTTTATTTTCTTCTCATATTTTGAAAGGAATAAATGTTAAAGGAGAAAAAAAACTAATAGTGATAACAACAGAAAAAGTAGAATTAGAGTTCATGATTTCAAGAAAGAGCATTGTTTTGAATAGTTCATAACATCAGATTGAAATGAAACATTTTTTAAAAAATAGAAGTAATATGACCTTATTGCATAACATTAAATAGATCATGTTTTCTCATTACTGTCTGTTTTAGAAAATGTCAGGAAACTGTTCTCTGGGTTAGTAGCAAAGTATGTTAAAATCAGGATGATAAATTATACAATATTTGAAATTATTTAAACATCATACCATTATTATTATTATTATTACTATTATTATTATACCAGTGGCATATGTCTTTCTATTAATCTAAATTTAAATTTTAATATTTCTACTGAACTATATAATTCACAATTATTCACAAAAAAATGAATAGAAATTATCTAAGGCATGCAAGTAAATATATTAAGCTAAGTATAGTTATATTTACTACAATATAATTTTATAATGATTTTATTTTGCAGAATTGTCTTTTGACATTTAATGAAAATTTAAGTTCTGTAATTTTAGTTGGTGTATAATGCTGTTTTTTTTTTAACAGTAACGACAAACGACAATGTTTGTCATTACTGTTATACCTTACTAGAATGAAAAGTGCTAGATTATATTCAAATTCAAAAGGGACCCAATAAAGTTGGTATTTTAGGGTTATTCCAGCCTTTTTTAGATGCCATTAACTATTTATTTATCAAAGAATTAGCTAATTTAGAAACTTATAATCTTTAGGTTACAGGATAGTCATAATTAAAATACTCTATTCAATGTTATCTGGCGCAACATGTAGCAGTGCAAACAATCAAATTTTGTATGCTGACATTTCTGAACATGTGGAAGAATTTCCTTAGGAAGAAAATCTAGTTCAAAAATTCACCATTATGGTGTTATGGCTCTGCAAGTGGCAAAAAACTTTGGTGCAATTTCTTAAGGTATCTTAACTCTTGAAGCACATTTACAGCATTGGCAGTCTATTAAACAGCATCACAAAAAAAGGAGCCCTCAGGTGTTATATGAATTGCTGCTGATTTATAGTAATATGAATGGTATTTCAAATGCTATGGGCAGTTTTATATCCAGAAATTGACCATAGCATATATGCATTATTCATATGTTATATATTTTTTTTTCTTTTGCACTTCATCACAAATACCATAATGGTGAGTTTTGGAATTAAGTTTTTTCCCATTCCTAGAAATGTGGAAATCACTTCCACATTTCTAGAAATGTCAGCAAAACAAATTTAGCTGAGTTTGAACTGCTAAATGTCTCTCCAGACAACAATGAATAGGAGTACTTTAATTACAATCACTGGTACTTATGAAAGTAAAACAATATTCATTTTATAAGTTACTCCACAACAGAACTGGATTTCCACTCAAATAATACCAAAGTAATTCAAGTAATCCTTTAAATCTGAATGATTTTCAGATGTGTCCAACATATTTTCCTAATGTTCAAATTAAACTCTTATCCAAATTGATAAGATTCGAGAAAAAATCATTTAACCTTGGCACAGGAAGTGCTATATCATATTTAAATATACAATATAATTTTATAATGATTTTATTTTGTATACAATTTTTCATTTTCAGGTCAACCTCACTATTATGCAAATAAAATTCTCAGGTCATCTGAGAATTTTATTTGCATAATAGTCATATTTCAAAATCATTACTATGAGAGAAAATTAGAATTATAAGTTGTAAAGAATAAATATATATTTTTCACTTATAACTGTGTTACTAATTATTACAAATTATTGTGTTAACAGGTATTAAATAAAAGTTTATGTTGCTTAATAGAAAACAAAAAAAAATTACATAATCAAAAAATTATTTCTGACTCAGCTTGTCAGTCATTCTATAAATAAATTTCTATCTACTCCACTTTTAACTAAAGTAAACTGAAGAAAACCTGCAGAATTATGCTAATTTATGAAAACAATTATTTTTTTAATATAATATTTATATAATATAACTATTTATGTTAACTTTTTTTATTAATATATTATATGGTAGTTAATTTTTGAAGGCTATTAATTAAATATATCATTTAGTTTTCTTTATTTATCTAAACAAAAAAGTTTAATCTCAAACATTACAGTATATACCCAGAAAAGTTTATTCAAAAGTTACTGCATTTCTTGAATTAGAAGCATATCCTTCAATTTTTCTTAGATATGAGAAGTACTTCTATTTTACAAGTGGTCTTATTTATTTTAATTAAAAAATCATTTTTTATAGCATATATAATTTTTTAGGTGCAAAATTTTAATGATTTTCTATTTTTTTATTTTTTGTTTTAGCCAACATAGAGGTTTGAGCAGTCTTTTGTAGGTTCTTTAAATCTATTTTTCTCCCTGTTCCTCCACTTATTTTCAAACTGCTTTTATAACATTTCACAACAGAAACATTTTTATGCATTTTAGTATAATACAGGTCTACAAAAAATCAAGGTAAACACTTTTATTTTGCTATAAATCTTTCATTTAGTTGTGTTTCTTAATGTGTTCACCTTTTGCATAATATATACTCCTCACTCTATGTGGCCAAGCATTTAGAACCTGATCTATCATCTCTTGGGGGACTTTTGTAATTTCTTCCTGAGTGATGTTTTAATCCATTTAATGTACACACAACATTTCATTTCTTTACTCTTTGTTTTAAGTAGCTCCAAAAGAAATAATCACAGGGAGCAGTATCACGATTGTTTGGTAACAATTGCAAGAATTTGATAAATGCAATTTTACTCTCCTATAGGAATGGAATTGTAGCCTTTGCCATATGTGAAGGTGCAAAGTCCTGATGAAATACAAAGTTGCCATCTAGAAACAGTCTCTTGGCATCTGACCAGAAGAAAGGTGAAGGATCTTCTTAATGTAGTATTTTGATGATACTTTTGCTCAGGTTCCACGAAATTTGGCTTTGTTGTTTTCTTTTCTACAATTCTGGTCAAACTATAACCCTTGTGGATGAGATGCTAAAGTTGGTGGTACTTCAGAGTGATTTTGGCTCCTGTTAACATAGCAGATCTTCCTCTTGCCTCGAGATTTAGTGAGATAGAATCAAGCTTCACCAGTTGTAATAAACTTTTGCCACCCATTTTTCTCCAGCAAGTGGTAGAATGATCAAGACCTGCAGTTTCTCTCCTGAATGGATGCATTAGAAAACTCATGGCATGCAAGTTTCTTGAAAAGTTTAATGCCCATTTTCTTCAGATTATAATTGGTTACTTGTTGATTAACATCGAACTTCATCCAATTTCTGATTGTGTTGGTGGGCTCTCCATACTGGCCATAGTCTTCAGCCTTTGTACTGTCGCCTTTGGTCAAATACATTTTTGACCATCACTGCTTTGCTTTGATTCTTGTCTGGATGCTCTCTACTTGCTATTTTTAATGTTTGAAATCTGTCTAATGGAAATGCATTGTCCTTTCATCCTTCAATTCTTCTGAACTTGTCTCAAGAACTGTCTAAGTTCTAAAACAGTTCTAATTATCTCAACTGTTTCATCACTTATTTTCTTATGCACTATTTTATCCTAGATAACTGTTCTGGACACATGCACTTGCTAGACTTTTTACTATCCAAATGTCACCCACATCATTATGCAAATCACTTTCATTACTCTACAACATTCACTTGAAAGTGTTCACTTTGATTTTTTGTAGACTTGTATATGATTTATAATTTCTCAGAAAGTATTAAGTTTTTAGTATAGTTTTGTGAGCAGCCATCTTGTCACATGTAACTACCATTACTTTCAGCCATTCACAGCTTTTTTCCAACTATTTAGATGTGTTTCAAAATAGGAAATGCTTTAATTTGAGAAATACAATAACTATAATATGTTGAAATTTGAAGACTTATTTCAGTTAAGTCTAGCTTGTTTTTTAATTTTAAATCATCAAATTTCACACGTACAATATATTCAAAGACTGATTCAATTATCAAACATATGATTAAATCATCAGATTACTTTCAGGTTGTATTTGCCTGCAACGCTAATTTAATTAATTATTACCAAAATTTGACTTGAAGAAATTGCAGATTCAAATTCTGCTATGGTTTAATCTTTTCTTTCATAATGTTTTAAATTACCTAAAATTAAAAATTAAATATAATTATTAATTTTTTATAAGATGCTGGCACAACTTTATTTTTAGACCAAATTTTATTAATAATTTGAATTAACCTTAATACAGACCATAAATAATCTGACAATTTACATAAATTATATATTTGGTATAAAAAATTTCAATATAATTTAAAAAGCAACTTAAATATTTTACCCTATTATTTTATATTTATTGTAATTCTGATCATATGCATTTCCAAGAACTTTCAAGCCTTTTGATTCATCATCACTTAATCAGTTTCTTCTGTGAAGTGAACAAAAGAAACTGATTAAATATCTCATTTTGTCTCATATTTGTATGGTTTCTTTTATGAAGTATCCTTGATGTTGAGCTGAAAAGCTTGAAAATGCTTGCAAATTGACATACATTAATTGAGATCCCCAATAAATAGGAAATAGCAGATTTTAATAATTGGAGAAGAGTTTTTGTTAATGTATTTTACATTGAAATTACCTGTAAATAATTGAACCATACATAAATCTTCAGATATTGGCTTAATTTTTTTCATTTCTTCATCTATGACTGAATCTCTTGTTATAGTATTACAGTTTATTTCATTAAAAGAATTTTCTTGCAGAACTGTTTCATTGCATACAGTTTCATTGTTTTTTACACTTTCTTGCTCAGAGCTATTCTTCTTTAATTTTAGCAACTTTTTCTTTTTACCTTCCAATATTTTATCTGCCATTGAATAAATTTCTTTTCGCCTTCCTTCTTTATAGAATTCTTGCTAAAATTAAAAGTTTGTTAAATATTTAGTAAATTATTAATATAAAATAATTAAAAATAATATTTTTTATAAAGAAATTCTTTTCTGTTCTTTGATTTAATAACAAAAATTATAAATCTCAAAAATAATAAACTATTACGATAAAATAATGAAATTTAATATACTTATTATGTAATTTCTTTGTCAAAAGTTAGCATAAAATAGTACAAAAATTACATTGTCATAGAAACTATAAAATTACAGTATATTTATACTCAAAAGCAAGTAATATAATACTTATATTTTACTATATATTTTGCTAATATTGTTATATTTTTCCAGCTATTTAAATATAATAACTTGTGCACAAATGAAATTTTTGAATTTTTTTCTGTATTTTCTTTTAAACCTATAGATTCACTTTCATAAACGAGAGCTAGATATAAGTGATAGTTCAGATTTATCTGGGCACAATATTTGACAATACTTAACTGAATATGACAGCTTAAACTATAATTAATCCAAACTCTCGCCTAATTAATCAGGCTATTATTATGCTATAATTAATAATTAGAAACTGAGTAATTTGCTACCTCTAGTATCAAATTACTTAGTTTCAAATTATTAATTATAGCATAATAATATTCTGATTAATTACAGTTAGAGTTTGGATTAATATCAATATATTGGTATTCGGGATGTTGATATTTAAACTATGACCTTAGACCAACATCTAAGGCCACAGTTTAAGCTAAACATCACACATGAAATCAATTTTATATAATACATATATTCAATTAGTAATTAAATTAAAAAAAATGATATTTATGAATTTATTTTCATTATTTCAAAATCTCATGTTTGAGATAAAAAGAATTAAGATTTATCACTTCATTTTCTTAGTTTTTTAACTTTCTAGAATGCCAATGTTTAATTAAATAGTTCAGTTTGGATTGCTTAAAACAATAAAATTTTTGTTAAAATAATTATGTTAACTAATTTTCTGATTAAGATGGAAATTTTAGCCTAAAAATGCATAGGACAGGTTAAAATTATTTTAAAATAGGTTTGACCATGTTAATTATCAGGGATATTCATGATAGGAAGCTTTTCTCCCTTTTAGAAGAGTTGTATTCTATGAAAACTATGAATTGTGAACACACATTCTGGTGGAATGATTTGTAATCTTTATTTCTTCTTTGTTAGACCACTTTATTGGTTGGCGTTGCCTTTTTTGAGGAATACTTTGTCATTTTTTAAATCACAAAATGACTCGGGCCCCTCTGTTTGTGGATTTTGATAATCAGTGATGTTGTGACATATATAAGGTGTGTAATTTCAGAAACAACCAACTCAACTTTTTCTGAAACATAAGAACTGTGAAGGTGGCTGATTTTGAAACTAATCTCCAATCTTCATTCCCCTTTTTATCCCTTTGTTTTGTGGCTAGCTTAGAAATTTACAAAAATCATCACTGGAAAGAGTAGAAAAATACATAAGATTAAGTGCTTAGCTAATTTGTTTAAAAGATGATGTTTTTGAAACTATACACCTCATATGTCAATAAATATTTATATCCATATTAATAACGGGCTACAATTTATGCTTATATCTATGAAGATAACCAGTTCTTCATTATGATCATATATTTTATATATAAAAAGATTGTATATTATATATATAATCTTTTTATAAATAATATA